TTTGCATTTTACTTCTTGGATGACCATTATAAATAGTACTATAAATTATGTGTCCTGTATGTAATCGTTCTCCTTGTAATCCCTGACTACAACACAGATTAATAACACTCAGACTTCAAACTTAAAAATAACTATGGATTGACCCTATCGTTTTTGAATTAAGCTATATTCTCAGCGTTTTTTATTTTAAGTTTTTGAGATAGGTCTCATTAAATCTTTATGTTGCTCAGTCCAGTCTTGAACCTGTGATCCTTCTGACTTGGCCTCCCAGAGTGCTGAGATTATAGATATGTATCACTGTGCCCAACTATGCTTTGTTTTTAAAAAAATGTCCTCATACACAACAGCAACAAGTGAGACAAATTCCTAAAGCAATTTTCAAATTAAAGTGCTTGAACAAAGGTAAAACAACTTGCTTTTCAAAAACAATTTCTCTTATTACTACAGTGCTTATTAATTAATACTGATAAAGCTTATGTGTAAGAATACTTTTGTTTTTTTCAGACAGGGTCTCTCATGGTGACCCTCATGCCTCAGCCTCCCAGTGCTGGGATTACAGGCATGGCCACCACACCTGGCTTAAGAGTAAGATCCTTGACAATTTTTTACCACCTTTCAAATCACTTTGGGGTGGTTGGGGACTGGTTAATCTCCAACTAGAAATATAAAAATACTTTTAAATCTTTAATGACTATCCTATTTTTTTTTTTTTTTGCCACTTTTACACTGTGAGGAAACAAGAAAATTAAGGAAATATACTGAGAAACACACCAGGTTAGTTTCTGTGGCTTTTTTGGATGGGGCCAAAAGCCTTTGCACAGGAACAGCATGGGCTCCACTGAACGTACATCACTAAAAGATACACAATGCCAGTGCTTTAGCCATCTCGCTATTTTTTTAAGAACCAAGTATCACAGATGATATTTGCCCACACAAGACGACCAAAACCTTGAATGTACCCTCCTGCTTGTAACTGAAGAAATCCTATTCAGCCTCAACAGTCTGTGAGGAGCCAGGCGGGATGGGAATTTATCCCTAACATTCCCAAACCATGGCATGATTACTACTGTAATCCCTACCCAGAAACCACCAATCATCTCACAGATTACAAGGCTGAGTTGACATGTGAATGATTCATTCATGAGTATTTATGACTAGTGAATACATTTAACAGCCATTCATGGAAAGCTTCCCAAGGAGGGACCCCTTTCCAACCAGCAAGCAATGTGAGACCCCACCATGTTCCAGGCAGAGGTACAGGGTAGCCACAAGGGGCAAAGTTGGGGTCAGTTAGGTTCCTCTTCTGTTACTTGCTAGGTATGACACCTTGGACAGCCTTGGCTCTGTTTCAATTCCTCATTTATGAATTGGGCACAGAGGTTTGCTTGGGTCAATCTAATACAGCATAAGCACTTAATCAATGTTGCCTCTATCAGAAAGTAAGCATTCCCTTAGCACCCTCTTACCCTGAAAAGGACCCTTCTTTTCTTTTTTTCTCTATACCCTGTAAACTGTCCTTTATGGCAGTTTTTAGCTTCTAATTATAATTACTTTCCATTTTGGGGATCTAATTAACACTACTCTCTACTATTGGACTAAAATTCATAAAGAAAGCAGCTTTGATGGCTCTTTCCCATATATCCAACACTCAGAATAGTAGTGGTATGTATGATAGATGCTCAATAAATATCTGAACTAATAAACCATACTGACAAATGCACAAAATATGAAGATGAAAGATACAGTACCATCCTCATCACGGAGTTCACAGGCCAGTGCACAGAGATTAATTCTAGCTACAAATCAGTCTCACTTATGGAGGAATGGTTTTTAAAATCTCAGTATCTGGTCCTACTTTGGAACAACCCAAGGGTTGTAGGAAGATGAGAGATGTCTGTCCCCAATTTTGTTTTTGAAGAGTCCTTCTGGTGATTTTTTAGGAACAGCTGGGTGAGAATCACTGGCCTAACTGAAGAGATCTAAGCAGCAATCACAGCACAGTGGGACATATGTTCTCCTACAGAAGCACTGTCTGGCAAGACTTCAAAAGATCCTTTATGTCCACACTGTCCAATACCCTGGCCACTAATAAGACGTGGCTACTGAGTCTGAGGAACTTGAAATCTTAGTTTATTTCAATTAAATTATAAAATCCATACATGCCTAGAGGCTTCTCTAATGGACAGTACAAACCTGGGGGAAACACACAGTAGAGCCCCTGAGCCTGGAGTGGCATCCAGAACTCAGGTGGCTGTGGCCCGACCCACAAAGAGCGCAGAGGAGGAAATGATAACCTGGCTCTGCACAGACACCCCCAACTAACTCTCCTATTTAGTTCTCCGCGCTATGCAGGGAAACCTCTCTCTCTTGTCATTCCAGGACAGCTGTGACCAACACACACAATGAAGTGCATCCCCAAGAAAATGAACCTCTGTGTGAGCAGTGGAATGGTACAGTCCTTGCGTCTACAGAAAGACATGTGTCTTGAGCAAGAACACTTGGCGAAGGCAAACTTGGACCCAGCCCCTTACGTATGGCAGCGCCTGGTAGCTGAGGAACAAGAGTCTCCCTTGCGGCTCACAAGCTAAGAGGCTTGAGTATGAGCCACAGTAATGTGGAGAACTGAGTTATTCCTGAGCAGACAGTGTCTCAGTGAGCTCTTCCAGAAGGCTCCAGCGTTACCTATAGAATCACGAATTACAACAGAAAGGGAGGGCACTGGCGCAACAGCTCTAACCGCTGTGACTCCCATCGACTGCTTGTTAAGTACCTATTATGTAGTATATGTATGTTATATAGTGTATAGTTAGAGTCTCAAAAGTTCTCTCATTTTGCCAATATAATACTCTGCAAATTAAATACTATTAATTTCATGGTGAGAAAATTTAAGGCTCACGGAAGCTAAATCATTTCCTTGAATGAGTATGGGAAAGCTAGGATTTAAAATAAGATGTATATACTACTTGAGCCTTTTTTTTTTTAAAAGAGTATACAGTGTTCTATTAATACTATTGTTTACTTATAAATACTAAGTGTAGCAGTTAATGGATTATCACAAATAATCATGCAACTAGCACTCAAAGCAAGAAACACAAAAATATTAGTCACTCAAGTTTTGCTTGTGACTCTATTTATTCCACTCCCCTCCCTAAAGAGCTAATATCTATGACAGGCCCACCAAAATGTAGTTCATTATATTAGTTATAAATTAGGCATACAACTTAGGAGGCCAAAGCTTGTTAATTAGTCACTATGTAAGTAAATAAGCAATATTTAAATTAATAAGATACTAGTATTAGTATTAATTATTGCTCTTTTGAGATAGGATCTCACTGTGTAGCCCTAAACTCAGTATGTAATCCAGGCTGGCCTTGAATTCACAGCACTCCCCTGCCTCAGCCTTCCAGGTGTTGAAATTATAGGTGTGTGCCACCACACCAGACATCAGTGCTTTATTGAATATGAAGAAATTAAGCAGTTGTATCAAGATACTAGAAGACAGTTTTTAACAATTTCTATAGTATTATAAAAGATAAGAGGCTATTAGTTTTCCACTTAGTTAAGTGATCCCCAGTTTTGAAGGGGCAAAGAGGGCCATAAAACATCTAGGGTTTGAGTTCTGCTCTGTTCATGTTCCTTTAAGTTCTGCTATTGTATAATGACAAAATTAAGAGGACTAGCATTTATTGAATGTCTAAAAGTGGTAGGCCCTTTATATAGTACATCATTTCAAAAACTTTGTAATGCCGCCATTCTCATTTTTCAGATGGGAAAAACAGAGGTTTGAGAAAGTGAACTAACCAGGTCAAAGTCACCTGTGTAAATAAAGAGCTTAGCAAGGATGAAAACCCACATCTGTTCAACTTCAAAGCCTGTGCTTTTCATGTTACAGCTGGCTATCTTCCTCGTCCAGGTTTTCTATGGGGTTAGTGATAGTTGACTGCTTAGAGAGGGAACCCTTGGGGAGGCTAGCTGGTACTTAAATAATGATGTGAGCCGGAGACCCTGAAATGCATTGTAAGTGTCCAAGCATGTCCTTGCCTGCAGTATTAGAGCTGTTGATTTTAATTGTTTGTTTCTTATTCAATGACAAAATACGTTTTTTTTTTTCCTTTTTATTGGTATCGGGGATTGAACTCACGACTGCCTGCTTGCAAGGCAGACACTTATGCCACTGAGCTAAATCCCCAGCCCCATGACAAAATATTTTTAACTCCAAGTCAACAATGACCAAAATTAAAATATTTGGTAACATGAGTTACCTGGCATCCCCTTGATGCCAGATAAAAAGAAAAGACGATGGAAGAAAAGACAATGCCAGGTAAAAAGAAAAGACGACTGAAAAAAGAAAAGACGATGCCCTGACAGTTGGCAGGTCTATTCAGTTTTGAATTTTTCACTGTCCACTCTCGAACATGCCATGTTGATGGTCCACACTGATTCTCAAATATGCACAGGCACACACAAGAAGGAAAAGATTAGTTGGGTACAGAAGTGCATGCCTGTCAGCCTGGTACTTAAAGGCCAATGCAGGACGATTCCAAGTTTTTATCTAGCCTGGGGAACTGAACAAAATCCTGTGTCTGTGTGTGTGTGTGTGCGCAGATACTGCTGGGGATGGATGTAGCTTAGTGTTAAGGTCCTGGGTTGGAGTGCTAGTATAACCCCCCCTCCCAAAACCGAAAAGATTCCCATGTACTTAACTGAGACCACTAAATAGGCAGAAACCCATAGAGATTTGTTTCTTGCAACAAAATCACCTATCATTCTGCTTAGTTTTTTAAGGCATATAAAACATACTTCAACTAATTTTTTTCTTTTCTTTTTTTCTTTTTACTGTATAAACATTTACAAATTTGGACTGATAAAGTAACAACAGAAAAGCTGAATTCCTTTAAGCTACTTACTTTTCTATTTGTGTCGTCTTTTATAAACATCTTCCATAGAGAAACTGTACACAGTACTTATCATTCACATGATCTGATTTGGTAGGTGCTTACCTTGGCCAGAATTGTATATTGCTTTTACAGATTTCTTCACTTTCTGTAGGGCTGTTCTATCTTGATCTAGAGCCTAAAAGAGAAAACACACAGGAAAAAGGACGTTAGAAAATTTGGTACAATTAAAAAAGAGAGAGAGAAAGAAAACTGATTCATAACTGTACTTGTTCTACTGAACACCAAAAGCAACAACAAACCGACAAATTTAAGAAGAATAAACCATGTCAGAGCCTAGAAATGCCCAAGCGTGGAGGAACTGTGTCTCCTGCCTCAGTGCAGTTGCTCATGAAGCTCAGTGCTGTGGAAACTGTAGCTTGGTAGCTGGCCAGTTACCATGCCAAAAAATTACAAGGCACACAGGAAATTCTAAGACTTTCTCTCATGAGCTTATAATCTTATAAAGGAAAAAAGCAAATGTAAGACATGCTGACCTGATACCCAGGGAATGAAACACATTTAGTGGTAATTTCATCCAAACAAAAAGGATTTAGGGGAGTGTAATAAGAATGACCTTTCCACAATGCTTTTAAATCTGAAGATCTTAGTGTCTAAAAAAATTAACTGTGGCATATGGAAGTGGTTTTGTGTAGTAGTTGTATTTTAAAAATCTGATTACTGAAAGACTGTATTATGGAAATGTTACGTAATGCTGATGATGCTTTTCAATGATACCGTAGATGAGAACCAACACACCTTGACTTTTAATCCAGGTGCTGGATATACAATTACGTGTTAGAGTGCTAAGATTCATCAAACTCTGCATCTACAATGGGTCCTCGTTCCTGTGTAAATTACACATAAAAACCAAGTTTAGAAGGGCCTTACTCCAAATGCATGCACACTGACCTCACTTTTTAAAGTAACCTCAAGCTTATCTCTGCTTCCCCAACAGTCTGTGGTCTACAGCCTGAGAACCCCAAGATGGTATGTCAAGATTTGGAGCACAGCAATGAAATTAACACTGATAAACTTGCAGACGTGTGTGTGTAGGGGTGGGGGTCTGGGGATCAGATCCATAGCCTTACGCATACTAGGCAAGAACTTTACCATTGAGCTACATCTCCAGCCCCTAGACATAAAATTACAAAAACATTAAATGTATACTAAAGTTATTACAGATTTTAAACCATTTCTCATTAAAAGATAACCCCCAAAAAACAAAAAATGGAAGCCCAGGATGTTAAGTACCTTCCTGAAGATCATCACACAGAGTTGAAAGGAGTTTTTGCAAAGCGAGCAGGCACCTGTTATCCCTCCCTTTCTGAAAAGTGGTCTTTTCCTAAATACATAGTTCAGCTATGTCTCAAATGCCATTTTCCTCCAGTCCTGCACTCTAGACAGCATTGTCTGGCCGAAGTAGGCACTGACTCCTGCTGGGTTTGAAGTCCCTTCTAGGATCTCTGGGTCTGGGAATCCCAATGCCAGTCCCATTATGACCCCAGTGCTAGCGCCATTCTGATGAGGTCAAGCTGGGGACCATGAGTGGTCTGGTAGTTCTTCTCCAAGTGTGGAAGAATCTGGTCAGACTTGATGGTAACAAAGACAAGGTAAAGCACCCTGGCAGCATCTGAGCCCTTGATTCCAGATGTCCTCCAGGCATAAGTCACTGATAACCTTACTGCAATCTGAGTCATGAGACAGCAAATCTCTTTGGTCTCAAGCAAGCTGAAGTTGGATTTCTGTCACTTGCAACCGCAGGTACAAAACGGTATAAAAACTAGAGTTTATGAAGAAGCACTTACTACATGGCAGGTATAATACCTGTTACGTAAGAGTTATCAATTATGAAATGTTAACTTTCTGTGTTGGACTGTAAAATGAAACAAAACAAGATTTCTGTGAAGTATCATCTCTAGCTTTAGATAAGGAATTATAGTAAGCCTTTAATAAATATTGTAAGAGTGGAAGGAGGAAGATATGAACTAGTTTGTCCAAAGTCCCAGAGGCAGAAGAACTGAAGCCACATTTCACACCTGTATCAAACTCCAAAGCACACCCCTTTTCTACTGGGAAGCTGGTACAGAGACCACAGCTTTTATACTATGAACCTAATGACATTTCCGCCATGTTCTTCACTTACATTACACATCTACAATTTTTGCCACACCCATGGCCTGCTGGTATTTCTGTTTAATTTTTCTTTAACTCTACGCAGTTCTTCTTCTTTTCTAAAGCTGAATGACTGCACTGTAAACAGTTAGAATAAAATGGCCAATCAGGGTCACTTGCCACTTGCTATGGTTTTTATATGTTTCTCAAAAGGCTCATTTGTTCAGATGGACCTTTTGGAAAGTGCCTGGGTCATGACAGATTCATGATTAAGGGGACTTGGGAGGTGACAGAAAGTTGGAAGTGGTACCTAGTTCAAAGCTGTTGAAAGGAGTAAGTCACCTTTTAGGACCCTTCATCTCTGGTTCTCTTTTTGCATCTTGGCTGGCACTAGATAAGGGTATTTTGCCTCAACTCAGGCCCAAAGCAACAAAACCAACTGAGCTTGGACTTAAACCTCTGAAATCAGGACTCAAAATAAAATCTTCCTTTGTTTTTTCTTAAGTATTTTGTCACACTAATGAAAAGCTAACACACCATTCACCGATGGATGGTATCTTCAAAGCTACTGCGTATCTCAACTATATAAAATGTTCATCTGCTCAGTAACCCGAGTTAAGTTCCACACCTACTGTACTGGGGGTACCATGTGGAAGGAAGTGTTCCATGAGAAGATGAGAAAAGTTCTTCAGGAAGGTTAAGTGATTTGGAATGGAAGAGTTGGAACTTGAACAAATCTTGACAACAAAGCCTCATGCCCTAACCCTACATCTAGTTCTATAGTCCATGGTAGGCTAAAACTAAAAACTATGAAATTAATACTTCCGCTTTAATGTCCATGTATATTTACAGTGAACTACTACAATGAGCAAAGGGACATGGAAAATTTCTGCCATGATGTTTTATGAAATCATCTATCTACTTCCTTTTGGGGGGATACAAGGAAGGGCAGAGGCTGAGAATTTACGCTGACTGTTTTATCAACTCATCCATGAACTGCTAAGGGTACAAAGTTCACACAATTACTTTGAAAGGTTATTAACAGCATCCCCATTTGACAGCAACAGTGCCAGTTAAGGCCTGGGTAACACTTCTGGTTCTTAAGCTCTAGTGTTTGGCTAATGGCAAAAAGAAGCCAAATAAAAAAAAATATTTTTACAATCCCTACATGTTAGAGTGCCTAGGGATACTGTTCTTCAATTATATGAGGCTCCCTCTACAGAAATGACATGTCCACATGTGCTACAAAGTTCCATTCCCTCTGGTGGTAGGCAAATAATTGCAGTGATGTCCTATGAAATGTCATCTATGTAAGATTAGATAAGGGCTATGAGAAAAATAGTAATATGAGCTGGACATGTTTTATCTCCTAAACCATTAAAAGCATGATAAATGTGCCTGGCTTATAAGTGTGCACTTGATGGTGACCATCTCAAAGAGATGGGGGCAGGAAGACAATGAATTAACAATTAAATGCATACAAAAGAATTTGCTTGTCTTTAATACTAGCAAAGAACCTTATATGTCTAAAATTCTGCAAGATAGCAATGGCATATTCTTTATATAACTGAAAGATCCTTTACTTTTTTCTTGGTGTGGAAGTACTAGAGGTAGCTCTACCCTGAGCTATAATCCCAGTCCTCTTTAATTGAAGTATAACTCACTAATGCTAAATAAGTAATGGCAATGCTAGCCATTATTTGTTTTTTTTTTAGTTCACAATTCTTTTAAATTATTAACAAGAGGGGAAAATACTCTTATTTTAGACAGATTCGACTTCAAAAATAAGTATACATTTTTGAAAATAAATGTTATGAATATACTTACAGAGAAGACAGTGGCACAGAATTCCTAGAGCTATGGAAGTGGACAGAAATCATGGCTACATTAACATGCCTAAGTTACCACCAAGCCCCACATGGAGCAGGTGCTCACAATACTTCTTGAAGTAGTTCTGAGAGAGAAACTTGCTGATGTCCTTGGGACAGAAACAGTGAAACACCTCAGAAACATGCACTCCTACAACAAAGTGATTTTTTTAATGAAAGGAACTTCTACTCACTTGGGGGAAAAATAGCATGCTTGCCTTTTTATTTCTTTCAGTTACAATTAAGTCATTTAAAAAAATATGCTCTACTTTTTTGTATCACCACTCCCAGAAATAGGGTAAAAAGGGTAATGGGGGAATGACTGAAGTATGTTATACATACATGCAAATCTTTCAAATTGAAGCCCATTAATATGTATAACCAATATATGTTAATAATATTTTTTACGGCAGTGCTGGCATCAAACCCAAGACCTTGTAGATGCTAAGCACCCAAGTGCATTTTAATAGATGTATTCGTCCTATACTCACCACGGAGCAGTTCTTTCTACGTTTTGGTGCAGGAAAGAAGAAGACTTTTATTTATTTGGCCTAATTTTGCTTCAGAAGTCTTTTATTTCACTCTTTTGCTGGTTGGGCAATAGTGTACCTTAAGGGCAGGACAAAAGGTTGTAGAGTGGGCTGCAGGAGGAAAGGAATGACTACATACACTCACATAAGGTCCCTGAGGATGAAACAGCGATACCAGTGCTCAAGCAGCCTGATTGCCAATGCAGTAAATTATTTATCCTGTGCTGCAATATGTGCATGTATAACTGTAATGTGAAAGTATGGGCTCTAGAAGTTCGATGTTCTCATGAGACCTGTGGATAAGGTGTCAGAAAAATGGCCATGAAAAATATATGCTGCCTCAAAAAGAGGGGACATGCAGGGGTCCATAAGAATATTTGTTCTGAAGATCACAACTGAATTTCTGCATCATTTGCTCTCACACATCCAATTAGTTAGTGTGTCAGGCACTTAACAGACACCCATCTAAGTGTGAAAACCAAGTACTGCTACCCAGCTGTGTGCCCCCTTTACCTACTTGTCACAGCAAAACACCCCCTTAAAAAACTCTTTGTGAGAATCCATGAAACGCATGGTGCTACTTTGGAAATAACTGATGAAGCTATCAGTAAAATACGAATTGTTGC